AAATAATCATAAAAAATAATAATATAATAATAATACATTTAATTCAATAATATAATCAAACCGAAAACACTGAAATTTGAAATAGAGCGCCAAGTTCATACATTGCTGAGCAAAGTCGCAAAATCGTTTTCAGTGTCTGATGACGAATTTCCCCACAAATCATTATCACTCAATTCTGCAAGTGGTTCTGATTTACTATCGCTGTTCTCTAGCTAATCTAAACCCGCTTTTGACCTAAAGGGACGCTTTTTGGATGCCATGGACGTTTCCAGGCAGAAAGAACAGACAAAAGGCAGGCAGAGCACAGGACAAAGCACTAGGGACAAAATGTATGTGAAATGGGTTGAAACAGCAATGTTTTACTATGAAAAATGTGTTTTGAAAAAAAATGACATTTTTAAAAATTTTCAAATTTCCCACCACCGCCGCCGCCCGTACGTCCCGACGTCACAGGGACCGGAACACAGAAGCTGGATGCCGGCATCGGCCGGAGGAGATGGCCAGGGACGCTGCAGGGGACACATCGCAGGAGCGAAGGACAAGGTAAGCTCCGCAGGGACTCCCTATGCAGCGCCGCATGGTAAGCCCCAGTGTAGCTCGGGGTTACCGCTTTTAGCACTGACATTTTACCCCGAGCTACACTTGGGAATACCGCTAGGGAGGTTAAGCTGGCCATAGATGGGTCAAAATTCAGCCAGTTCAGCAGGAAACGGCCAAATTGTGATCCATCCATGGGCAGGCTGGTTGTAGCTGGCATTAGTAATCATGTTCTGACAGCAGGAAATCCTCCTGCTGTTGGAGCAGAATAACACAGAGGGAGGGATTCCCCTATCAACAATGACTGTGTTGATAGGGGAATTGAGTGATTTTCTTTCTTCAACCACAGGTTGAAGGAAAGAAATTTGCATAACCTATGTCCTTAGTAAGTGCATAGTACACTCAATCAAAAAATCTGACGCAAAATACTGCTTTCAAAGCAATCGTACAATAGTTTGATCACTAGTACACAGCTTTCGTGAGCCAATCATGACAGTTCATGCGAAATTATCTAAAGGGACAAGCATAAAAAATTTTCTTGTATGATACCAGCATGTACAATTTTGGTTTAATCAGTACAGTATTCGTCCAAAACAAATTGGAGACCACGCATGCTCAAAGACAAAAGAATACATTAAAATACAATACAATACATGACATCACTTCCAAAGTTGTACTCTGGCGTACGAGAATTTTCATAACTATAATAACCTCTTCATTTTTGATGAGACTAGCATGCAAAAAAATATTCTCATCGTGTGTGCAAGGCATAAGCAGGAAAGTATGCTAATGAGCCCCAGTCTGACAGGTCAACAATTCTTTGTCTTTCATAGTTTTCAATCTCCAACAGACCAAATAGATCATAGTACAGAGCGAAGATGAGTGGTGCAGTGGCAGCTGCCCTGGGCTTACCAATATGTACATTTACAAAGCCGTCAATCAGATTTAAACTTACCTCAAATGCTTGAGTGTGATTGGTGATAAAGGACATACAGAGAGAGGAAGTACACAACAAGGACTATGACTATTAAAACAGGCCATAGCTTATTACATTTTCTTTCCTTCCACCAGTGGTGGAAGGAAATAAAAATAGCTTGATTCCCTAATCAATACAGTCAGTGTTGATGTGGTAACTCCTGTTGTGTTCTGCCGGGGAGGGTGGTAAGCCTTCCTGGTCAGCAAAACACAATGATCACTGCGAGTGGCTATAGCTACCGACAGTAATTTCATGCAGAAAAAAAAATCTGACAAGCTGGTTGTATCGATGGATCAACTTGTGTAGAAACATCCTGCCCATAGATGGATTGAATCTTTGGCTGGTCCCTCCTAAACCGGACAAGATTCAATCCATCTATGGCCAGCTTAAATTTATGGTTCACTTTCCATGAGCAAGCTCCATTTGTTAGAATCCCAGTACTGTTCAATGTAGTAAAACTTAATTGGTGTACAGTGATGCCTCTTGCTCTCTTAGTCTGAATGTTACGCAGATTGTTATAGGATACTAGTACAAAGGCAGAAGGAGATACTAATTAAAATAGTGAAAGTATGTAAATATTTGAATCACTACATATCTGGATTAAATGGAGTCTGGTGTATTTGCCTACAAGCACGTTTTATGTATTACATGGTTAATATAACATCAGTAAACTGCAATAAATAACATACCCCAAATAATTCTAAAGAAACCCCAAACCTTAGGAGTTTTCCACCATTCTTTAGTTTTGCAACAAACATGCCTACCAGCTCAACATTTAAAAGGTCTACTTTTAACCAGTCAAACTTTCAACCTTTAGCTTGAGAGTCCCGTAAAGCTTTGGAGTCCCCTATTACTATCAGAGTTCTGCTAAATGGTCACCTGTTTCAGCATCCGGGAACATTCTGTACTTGTTGGCTTTATCTGGCTCTCAAGAAAGCCAAACAGAATTGATTTCAAGGTCTTTTAGAAGCAAGCAGTGCATTGGCTTTTTTCTCTGCCAAAGGAATCGAATGGGTGCCAAAAGCTTCAGGGCCTTTGCAGCACATACCAGTTAGTAAATCCGCAGGGACTGGAGGAGTGGGGAGGGGGGCTGCCACTGCACAGTACTTCCAAAGCTTGAGGGGGGTTTTCCATCCTTAGCGGCTGAAGCCATGACAACACATCCAGTTATCCAGTGGATTGCACAAGTAATAATTGTTGTTTTAAACCTCACATATTCTCCTATGTTTATTAAATGGTAGACCCAAATCACTGGGTATCAAGGAAGACAATTCCTCGATATACAACATTACCAGTTATGTATTTGGGGGGACTTCTACTTGCTCCCAAAGTGTTAGTAGACGGCATTTATATTACAGAATATTTGTATGACTAAATTGGCTTTTATGTCACATAAATTTAACAGTAAACCAATAGTGTTATTTTTAAATTTAAAGTGAACATGTTTGCCATTTTAAACTTTGAACAATTAGAGTGTAAATCGAGTTATTACTTAATTAAACCCTCCCCCCCCCCCCAAACCTATCTCTTCTGCTCTGGTAATACAAAACAGCTTTTATTACTCTCTGTTACATCACCAGGTTTGTAGCATGTATGCAGGGGCAGCTGCTGCCCGAACTACATCTTCCAAGAGCCTTTCCTTGATTCTCAAGGGTGCCCACCCACAGTGTTGGGAGTCAAGGCAGCAGCACGGTTTTTCTGACAATGAAATCAAAGTTCACATGTGGAGTGGGACAAAGAAGGTTACAGGGATAGGTAGAGTTCTCTAGTTAGGCAAGCAGGGCTGGTAACGTTGCTTGGGATATTATAAGGGACAATGAGATTGATTTATAACGGCAAATAGGCTGTGCACCATACAAGGTGCAGTTGCACTCTTTAAGTGTAATTGCTCAAGAGCTTTGTAAATTAGATAAAGATTCACTTTGTAAGGAATACCCAACCATGTGCAAGGAAAATTTAAAAAAAGCACTTTTGCTGGCACATGATTGGATGATGTAAGTCAGCAGAGCTTCTGCTCATAAGTTCTGGAGCAACTTGCAGAGTGCTCAGCCTATTTGCCTTTAATAAATCAACCCCATTGGTTCTAAAAAAATATGTTTGTGTTTTGCTAACTTTTTTTGTTTTATAGTTACTTGTTTTTTTGCTGCAGAGCTTAGTATTTATATCACTTTGTACATAGAGTATATTGAGATCTTTTATTGCCAATAAATATTATTGCATAAAATTTGCAAATTTTGAATCCCAAAAACTGTAATGAGCAAACACTAATAATCTCTTTTTTTTATTTTTCTGCTCTCTTTTGTCCCAATTGGTGAACTTATTATTCAACTAAAGGTAAGAAATCTTTGCATTTTTCTAACTAAAATACTACCCTCTCCAATGTCCAATATGGGATATCTATCTATTTATCTATCTATCTATCTATCTATCTATCTATCTATCTATCTATCTATCTATCTATCTAATTTTTTGTATTCACTATACACTGATTAGTCATAACATCACTACAACCCTTCCACTTAGGGACTCCACCACACTTCTAAAAGTATGCTGTGATATTTGGAACCAAGTCATCACTAGCAGATCCTTTAAGTCCAGTAAGTTGTGAGGTGGGGCCTCTATGAATCAGACTTGTTTTTCCAGCACATCCCACAGATGCCTGATTGGATTGAGATCTGGAGATTGTGGAGGCCAGATCATCACCTTGAACTCATTGTTGTGTTCCTCAAGCGACCTTTTTTTATTGCTCTGTGGTCCAGTTCTGATAGTCATATGCCCATTGTAGGTGCTTTTGGCTTTGAACATGGGTTAGCATGGACACCATATGCAGCTACGGAGCCCCATATGAAACAAACAGTGCAGCACTGTGTGTTCTGACACCTTTTTACTGGAACAAGCATTAACAAGCATTAACTTTTTCAGCAATTTGAGCTACAGCAGCTCTTCTATTAGATTAGACTACATGCACCAGCCTTTGCTACCCACGTGCATCATGGAGCCTTGGCTGCTCATTGCTGGTTCCCCGGTTTTCCTTTCTTCCACCACTCTCAATAGGTCCTGACCACTGCAGACCAGTAACATCCCACAAGAGCTGCAGTAATGGAGTTGCTCAAAGTCAGTCGCCTAGCCATTACAATTTACCCTTGTCAGAGTCACTCCAATCTTACTTTCAACACATCAGATACCTTCAACACATCAAGTTCAGGGACAACATGTTCACTTGCTGCCTAATATATGCCACTCACTTTCAGATGCCATTGTAACAAGATAATCAATGTTATTGACCTGTCAGTCATCATAATGTTATGGCTAATCAGTGATGGTGATCTGATGGCTTAAATGATAAGTCTGTGAATGAATGATGCTGCCATGTTGGCGGAGCCCCGCACGGCTGCGCTATTTTCAAATTTGACAGATAGTATGGGTAAACTTCTCCCTGTATTATCTGTCAGAGGGAGGGGGGTGGTGGCTGCGGCTGTGGGAACATGTTACATGTTCCACCATAAAAACAGGTGGAACATGTAACATGTTCCCAAAGGGGAACTTATCCTTTAGGTATGAATTTGTTTCTACCCCATACCTGATATCTGCAGCAGGGGCGGACTGACCATTGGAGAACTCGGGCACTGCCCGAGGGCCCGGGGTCAGTAGGGGGCCCCATGAGATGTCCCTGGTACCTTTAATAGGCTTTTTTGGGTGTGGTTTGAGTGTGGGCAAGGACACAGGGGCCCCATGATCCCCTATTGCCCGGGGGCCCCATGAGTTGTCAGTCCGCCCCTGATCTGCAGCCTCTGACTGGATGTAGCTGTCCTTATGTTTTTTCTGGGGATGTATAAAGTTAAAATGACAATCCCTTGTGGGAATTAAACTGATATTTTAGGGGTATTAACCTGTACCTATGGAAACAAAAATTTGTAAGTTTCTTTGGAACACATCCACTAGACTTTGACAGGCGTGCATTGACTTGCTTGTTACATTTATTGCTGTTTGTTAGCATTTTTTTTGTTTGTAGCATTGGTAGGAACCAAAGTAAAACACCCCTATTCTCATTTGACTCCTTCAATTTGTAAGAAAATGTGAATTATTAACCTGCATGAAGATTTAAAGGAGTTTTTGGTCACTGAGCTATAATCTTTGGTTCATTTTTGTTCTGTGATAACAGTAATAAAAAAGAATGGGGGGCAGATTAAAAGGAAAACAATGTAAAAAGGAAAAACATTATTTTTTTCTTCAAACATAATAAAAGTGCTGTGCTATATAAATTGAATAATGATGCTAAGCATATGTGTCTGAAGATCAAAAACAATCAACCCATATAAAATCTGATACAGTAGCCCATAAATGTTGCTATATAACAAAACTATATGAACAATATGAAATGTACAATCATAAATAGTAGTGACTCAATAAATAGTTCAAATAAATGCAGAGGAAGTCCTAAATCCAGTATCTTTCAAGGCATAAAAAGCTGCACCCACAATTAGTATGAACTGCAGTCCTAAATAGAGTGAAGTCACATCCCAATGTAGAAATAAGACATCCGTGAAATCCTTCACCACTATGCACTCACTTAAAGTGTTACTAAACTCAGTAAAATCAGTCTGTATATGCAGTAAAGCATGCTTTTTATACTCACTGTGGAACCTAAGGGGTTAATCCTCTGAATTGTGTAAAAAGGCTGTTTGATCCTGTCTTTTCTGCCCCTCCTCTTGTTTAAATGACCACCTGATACAGACTGAACCCGTGGTCACATGCACAGTTTAGTGTGTATTGGTGTGTATTGCTAGAGGTTTTTTTTGGGAGAGTGCATGTGATCAGCACAGGGCCAATCAGCACTGTCCAGACAAAGGGTCAGGGGTTTCACATCCTCCTAGATCCTCCTAGAGCAGAAAGAAAACTCCTCCTACAAGTGTTAACTAGTGCTCTGCTGCAGTCACAAGACTGCTATATACTGCTGATGAGAAAAGGTATTTAGCAAATTATATTTATTAAAATAATTGCGCTTCCATGTTCTGTGTACTGTGGGGTGACCAGATATAGTGAATGCAGGGTCCTGGGTTTAGTATCACTTTAAATGAACTTAAATACAACAGGCTTGAATTTAAAAAATCCTCCTAGGTATATATATCTCCTCCTCAAAGGGCTGGTACGTAATCTTCCAGTGATGTGTCTTGCTTTAGCCGCTGACAGAGGTTCCTCCCCTGAGTTACTGGCTAAGACAGCAGAGCCACAATTTGCACAGTAACAATGGACAAACTATCACTGAAGAAGAATCCTGGTCATATGACCACTATAAGAGCCAATCCTAATGGTCATATGACCAGGATTCTTCTCTAGTGATAGTTTGTCCATTGTTACTGTGCAAATTGTGGCTCTGCTGTCTTAGCCAGTAACTCAGGGGAGGAACCTCTGTCAGCGGCTAAAGCAAAACACATCACTGGAAGATTACGCACCAGCCCTTTGAGGAGGAGATATGCATACCTTGAAGGATTTTTACTACAAACCTGTTTTATTTAAGTTCTGGTGAGTGCATAGTGGTGAAGGATGTCTTATTTCCACATTGTGATATCACTCCAATTAGGACTGCGGTTCATACTAATTGTGGGTGCAGCTTTCTATGCCACTGAGCACTTTTTTGCTCTGAAAGATATTGGATTGAGGACTTCCTCTTCATTTATTTGGACTATTTATTGAGTCACTACTATTTATGATTGCACATTTCATATTGTTCATATAGTTTTGTCATATAGCAACACTTATGGGCTACTGTATCAGATTTTATATGGGTTGATTGTTTTTTGATCTTCAGACACATATACTTACCATCATTATTCAATTTATATAGCACAGCACTTTTATTATGTTTATTGTGATATGGAGTGGGTTCACCATTTGTGCTAGCTGCTTTTTATATTTGCTTTTCTCACTTTATATAGTTTTTGTTTATTCTTTTTTCTTTCTTTGATCAAAATGATTAAAATGTTTGCTTGGATGTAGAATTTTGGACATGCCATGCATGCGTTAGTTGCATTGTGTTAGACTTAAATGTTCTAGATTTAGTAACCTCATGTACACAACTTCAGTCCTGGATAATTCCCGACATTCCTCTGCTAAGTGTAAAAATCAGCAATTTTTTTTGCTAGAAAATTACTTAGAACCCCAAACATTATATATTTTTAAGCAGAGATGCCAGAGAATAAAATGGTGTTGCAATTATTTATGTCACATGGTATTTGAGCAGTAGTTTTTTAATCAAATTTAAAAAAAAATAATATATATATACTTTAATGAATTTTAATGCACAAAAACACAATATAATACTCAATTGTTAGGTACAATATAAAACCGGGGCCGTCAACTCGTTGATCGTGATCTACCAGTCGACTGCAGCCAGGTGACGGGTAGTTCACATCTCTGTATTGCCAACCGAAGTTACAGAGCAGGGAAGGAGAGATCTGGGCAGATGGAGGGGGGGGGGGGGGGGTGGAGAAGAGAGCCTTGTGGGTGGAGTGGTGGAGGAGAGAGCTGGGCAGATGGAGCAGGGGAGGAGAGACCCAGGTGGATGGAGCGGGGAGGAGAGACCCAGGCAGATGGAGCGGGGAGGAGACTTGCTCTTGAACTGAGCCACCTCTCCCAATGAAGCTCAGATCCCGCAGTGTCCCTTTATCTTCCATCCCACAGCTGAAGGAACGAGAGGGCAGAGAGGAGGATGGGATGAGATCAGCTCAGGACAGGGGAGGAAGTGTTGGTGCTTGCCTGATGGACACAGAACTGTCACAGGGCTGAGCGAGGTAGGAGGAGAGCAGTGCCTGGTAACCAAGACTGTGTTCACTGCAGGGGCAGACTGACCATTTGGAAACTCAGGCACTGCCCAAGGGCCCGGGGTCAGTAGGGGGCCCATGAGATGCCCCTGGTACCTTTTTCATAGGCTTTTTTGAGTTTTGGCAAGGACACAGGGCCCCATGATCCCCTATTCCCCGGGGGCCCTATAAGTTGTCAGTCCGCCCCAGGTTCCCTGGTGAGGAAAGACGCTTCCTGGGTCTGTGTCACCTATTGAGGACCCTCTGTACCCTCTACTCTGCTCACCTCACAATACCGACAGCTGGAAACAGATATATACTGCCCCCCCACCCTCCGTCCAACACCCACTAACACTGACAGAAAAATCCCCAAAAATTACTAGGACCAGCAGAGGGGGCTGGAATCTGTCATTACCAGGAAGGGGTGGGCCTCTGTTTTTTAAATTAGGGGAGAAAAGGCATATAATTTGTTACTGGGGGGGGGGGATTTGCCATTAAGGGGGGCATGTGCCCTGCGCTGCCATCACCATGCTCCAGGGGGCCCCAAGGATGCCAAACCCCAGTGATCTTGGCTCTCTTTTGTGTCGTTCAGGTAGATCTCCATCTCTCAGAGGTTGCCTACCCCTGATAAAAGATGATGTTACACCATGTAAATAGATACCTAACATGTCAGGCTTTAAAATTGCGAATGCTCACGGAATGGCAATAAACTACAGTACATTATATTATCCATAGCAACACTTTCAAAGCCTTTACAAGTTACCATCAGGGATGCCAACCTCCTGTAAATTTACAGACAGTTTGTAAAAAGCAGTGGTTTTTACAACTGTAAATATCAGGGGCTGATAATTTGTCAAGCTGTGTTGACTTTTGTAATGGGTATGGGTATTGTCAGTGTTTTCGTATTGTGTTTAAACTGTTTAACCCCTTGACGCCGAGCGGCCGCATCTCGGCGTCTGGGCCTTGACGCCGAGCAGCCGCATATTTGCGTTCCATTAGCAAATGCATGTGCTGAGAGCGCGCGCCCTCCGCGCTCCCAGCACATATGTCCATGATTCACGGAAAGGTCCCGATCACCCCTTGCAATTGGGAACTTTTCAGATCATGTGACCGCCATGACGGCGAATCACGGCGGTCACATGACCCTAAAACCCCGCCCACCTCCTGGCTTCTGAAAACTCTTAAAGGCGCTGGCGCAAAGTGGTTAAATATTAATTGTCTTAGTTTTTAATGTAATTTTTCAGGTTGTCAGTAAACAATGTGCTCTGTCAGTAAACTTTCATTGTTTTGTCAGTAAAAAATGCTGCGTAAGATTGGCAACATAGGTTACCAGTTCAGAGTTACACAGGAGGTCTGGTGCTAGAATTAATGCTCTCGCTACAATGTTTGCGGTGATACCTCACATGTGTGAACATCATCTACATATGTGTGCGCGGCCTACGTATGCGTTCACTTTTTCATGTTTGGGGGGACACGGGTGCTTTAATTTAAAAAAAATATATATTATTATTATTTTTTACACTGGCTATTTATTTATTACCACATTTATGGCTGTCACAAGGAATGAACTACTTCCTTGTGATAACTGGAGTAATGACTGGCCCTGCTTATGACGAGATCTGTGGTCTATTCAACACTAGACCCCTCCTCTCCCTTTCAAAGCTTCAGATCAAACCCAGATCAGGTTGAACTTATGGTTTCACAAGGCAGTAATGGCATGTTTACATCCTGATGAAACCGGAAGTGAAAATATACTAGTAGCTTCTGGTTTCTTAGGCCATAGAGATAATCGCAGATGCTCCAGTCCTCAGTCATCTTTATTGTCAGCTGGCAGAACCGTTGGTGTCAGTCCCAGGCTCCCCGGCGGTACAGGAAAGCTTGGGAAGGTAGCGGAAGACAGAGGGATCCCCTTCTGCTGTGTGTAAAAGTTAACCAGAGGCTAATTAGCTATTAAGTTCACTTTTACATTAAAGATAAATGTCGTCTGCAAACAAAAAACCAAGACACCGGGATGATGCCTGAAGTTCCAGGCATTATCCCGGTATAGCTGCCTTTATCCTGGCATCCTATGGGTACATGGTGGAGGCTGAAATGGTATATATACACACACACCTTTATTGTTATAGTGTTTGTTAGGTATTAGGAGGTCTTGACGTTGTCTCAGGAAAGATTATTCAACTTCCTGCTGATTCAGCCAAAATATAACACATGTTGGCACCACCAGACTCAACAAAATCAAAGAAGTTCTTTGCTGAACAGTAACTACAGCCAGTTAGATTTATATTGCAATATTCAGGTATTCTGACAGCCTCAGGGGAAGTAGCAATCAGGATACAATAGCCGTCAGGGAGATTCCCCCATCCATGCTGTTTAATGGGGCTAAACTAGAGAAATCTTAACAGGTCAGGCTAACCTTAGTCTCAGTTAGTCTGTGTTGTCCTACAGCAATCATCCAAATCCTCATATTACAGTATAGAAGAATGGAGTAATCCAATTGTCATATATGGGTCAACAGATTTCCTGAGACTACTACTATTCTATCCATAGACACTTATGTAAGTGGTGCCAAGAGTCTCACGTTTTTGAAACAAATCTATACTGTTTTTTTCACACCATAGGCCAAACACGGCTGGGGTTATCTTGACAACTTCAAGCTTTAATCTATTTAATCAATAAAATCTATTATTCCAATACTGCCCTTCTCGCTAAGAACTGATGTTCTTTCTCCACAGTCACCAATCACATTCAGGAGGTCTGGTGCTGATTGGTGGCTCTGGAGAAGCAACTCCAGCACTTAGTAAGAAGACAGTAATACAAAGTAATACAAAGGTCCCTATAGGTTACATTTCAACGCTGAATTCCAGACACAGACCAAAATACACAGATGAAATATGTATAGGGAAGCTGTTTTACAGTACCTGCCAAGTAATGGAGTAATGGATTTACTTTTTATGTGTATATAAATATGTAAGTGGAAAGGTCAGACCCACTTCTCCTGCCGGGACAATGTGTCTGCTTTTGAGTATATATTGCTAATATTTGTGCCATTGTATAAAAAAAAAAGGTTGATTACATGGAAATGCTCAGCACAAGCTGGTTCGGCAATGTGTTAGTCGGGGTTTTGTTTATCATAACATCTCTAAGGAGTGGAAGCGTAAATCATTTAGGCAGCAAATGACTGACCTATTTAGAATGTGTGCAGTTTATTCTGCGGGGAATGGATTAGCCAATTTAGAAGATTTGCAACTGCTGTTATTGCAAGTGGTCAAAAACATTTAGAATGCATGAACTCAACCCATCTACAGGTGAAACTCGAAAAATTAGAATACCGTGCAAAAGTTCATTTATTTCAGTAATGCAACTTAAAAGGTGAAACTAATATATGAGATAGACTCATTACATGCAAAGCAAGATAGTTCAAGCTGTGATTTGTCATAATTGTGATGATTATGGCTTACAGCTCATGAAAACCCCCAAATCAACAATCTCAGAAAATGAGAATATTGTGAAAAGGTGCAACATTCTCGGCTCAAAGTGTCCCACTCTAATCAGCTAATTAAGCCATAACACCTGCAAAGGGTTCCTGAGCCTTTAAATGGTCTCTCAGTCTGGTTCAGTAGGAATCACAATCATGGGAAAGACTGCTGACCTGACAATTGTGCAGAAAACCATCATTGACACCCTCCATAAGGAGGGAAAGCCTCAAAAGGTAATTGCAAAATAAGTTGGATGTTCCCAAAGTGCTGTATCAAAGTACATTAATAGAAAGTTATGTGGAAGGGAAAAGTGTGGAAGAAAAAGGTGCACAAGCAGCAGGGATGACTGCAGTCTGGAGAGGATTGTCAGGAAAAGACCATTCAAAAGTGTTGGGGACTTTCACAAGGAGTGGACTGAGGCTGGAGTCAGTGCATCAAGAGCCACCCACACACAGACAGATCCTGGACATGGGCTTCAAATGTCATATTCCTCTTGTCAAGCCGCTCCTGAACAACAAACAACGGCAGAAGCGTCTTACCTGGGCTAAAGAAAAACAGTCCTGGTCTGTTGCTCAGTGGTCCGAAGTCCTCTTTTCTGATGAGAGCAACTTTTGCATCTCTTTTGGAAACCAAAAACCCAGAGTATGGAGGAAGAATGGAGAGGCACACACTGCAAGATGCTGGAAGTCCAGTGTGAAGTTTCCACAGTCTGTGTTGATTTGGGGAGCCATGACGTCTGCTGGTGCTGGTCCACTGTGCTTCATAAAGTCCAGGGTCAAAGGAGCCATCTACCAGGAGATTTTGGAGCACTTCATGCTTCCTTCCACAGACGAGCTTTATGGGGATGCTGACTTCATTTTCCAGCAGGACTTGACACCTGCCCACACTGCCTAAAGCACCAAAACCTGGTTCAATGACCGTGGGATTACTGTGCTTGATTGGCCAGCAAACTCGCCTGACCTGAACCCCATAGAGAATCTATGGGGCATTGCCAAGTGAAAGATGAGAGACATGAGATCGAACAATGCAGAAGAGCTGAAGGCCGCTATTGAAGCATCCTGGTCTTCCATAATACCTCAGCAGTGTCACAGGCTGATAGCTTCCATGCCACGCCGCATTGAGGCAGTAATTGCTGGAAAAGGGGCCCAAACCAAGTACTGAGTACATATGCATGCTTATACTTTTCAGAGGTCCAATATTGTTCTATGCATAATCCTTGTTTTATTGATTGCATGTAATATTCTAATTTTCTGAGATTGTGGATTTGGGGTTTTCATGAGCTCTAAGCCATAATCATCACAATTATGACAAATCACGGCTTGAACTATCTTGCTTTGCATGTAATGAGTCTATCTCATATATTAGTTTCACCTTTTAAGTTACATTACTGAAATAAATGAACTTTTGCACGATATTCTAATTTTTCGAGTTTCACCTGTATGTTCCCGGCTTCACCAACACCAGTGGGATCCACAGTTCAAAGCTTGCAATTTGCCCATCTCTGTGGCTGCAGGTGCTAGCTGATGGAGCTCATCAGCGCTCCCCTCATTGGAAGAAGCCGGCCACCCTCCAGTGACATCAGTCTTCACAAGACTTTATTGTTCCAAGTAAAAATCACAGAAAATTCAACAAGACCAAGCCTCACTCTGACATGTTTCAATGAGAAAGATCTTAGGCTGGTTTCACACTGATCCTAGCAAAAACATGGTTACTGTGGTTTTGCTGAATTTTTTA